CCCCCCCCCCCCCCCCCCCCCTCCCGCCGAAAAAAAATCCATAGGTGGAAAACCCCTGCCCTCGGGTAAAACACCCCGACTGGCTGCGGAAGATCGTGAGGGAGATCAACGACGGGTACCGGCAAACGAAGATCGACCAGCTCTTCAAGGCGGCCCCTCCCGGGACACCCCAGGTTCGTCCATGGTTGATGGAAGCCGTCCGTCGCTACATGTCAGAAATGCGATGGATGTGGCAGCATTTAAGGGTAAGTTAACCTGTGCTCACGGGAATCGACCACGTCGAGTGTTGGATCAGTACGGACATACAAAGGTACTGGGAAGAGAGAGATCGGAACGGTTTTTAATGTGAAGACAGCAACAACAACAATTCCAGACAGAGGATCGATGTTGCTCTAAAAATGACCTTGGCCTACCTGAAGAACAGATTATTGTTGTTGTCGTTGTTGCCGCCCACCAAGCCTCGTTCCAAGAATTATCCTATTACCTCTTTTCTCCCCACCTCGACCAGCCCCTCTTCCCCTAAACAAGCACACTTCGGAGCCCCTCCCCCACCCCTTCCCGCTAAAGCCTCTCGCGAGAACAGCATTTTGATCCCCCCACTTCCCACACCACACGCCTCTTCCGAAACGAACAGCTCACCAATGCCGGGGCGTCGACCAAGGCCAAACCAACCCCCGCGCCGGCCGCCACCGACATCGAAGACATGGCGGGCGGCGGCGGCGGCGGCGGCGGCGCGGCGGGGCGCAGCATCCTCGGAGCCCGCGCCCGCGTCACCAAGCGCATCGGCAACGGGGCCGCCGCCGGCGGTGCCCTCGCCCCTGACGGGAGTCCCGGGAAAGAGAACGCTGACGTCGGGGGGGGTGGGCAGGAGGAGGAAGAGGAGGAGGAGGAGGAGGCCGTCCCGATTCGGAGGGAGGATGACTTCCAGGGGTGGCTGGCGCAGCAGAAGGCCGGGTGGAAGAAGCGTCGGGAGCAGAACAGGCTCAAGCGGAGGACGGAGGCGAGGTCACAGGTGTGTGTGTGTGTATGTATGTGTATGTATGTGTGTGTATGTGTGTGTATGTATGGGTGTATGTGTGTGTATGTGTGTGTGTATGTATGTGTGTATGTGTGTGTATGTGTGTGTGTGTGTTTTTTTTTTTTGCCTTCTTGGTTGTTGTGAAGGCGAGAATGGGTGATGCCGGTGATGCCGGTGGTGCTGGTGTTTCGTTTGTTCGTTTGTCCTGGACGTTGCTCCCTTCTCCTTGTTCGAATGTCGGTATCGCCTCGTTAGCTGGGTGCGTTTGGCAAGCTTTCACCGACACACACACCCAGACACAAAACAAATTACAATCTATTGCCATTATTTTGCTCGAGCTTTCTTCGTCCGGCCTTACCTCACTTCACCACGCCGCGCCCACTCCTACGATGTTCTTGCTCTCTCAAACCTTTCATCCCACCAACCTGTACTCAAGGCAATGGCCTCGTTCAGGGGAAGTGGCAGCTCCGGCGCACGGGGCGGTACCGCCGGGCTGGGAGCAGCGGGGGCGGCGGAGAAGCGGCGGCGGACGGCCGCCATGGGGAAGTCGGGGCTTCAGGGCTACCTGACCTCGGCCCAAGACGCTCTCTTGCGTGGCTTCTGGCAGGTGCGGCATGGTATTTACCGTAGCGCTGCGGTTGTGTTGACGGTTACACGTGTATGTGAGGCGTGGGACAGCGCGCGTGGGGGGAATTTGTCAAGTCGTTGATTGTTTTGAAATTACGTGCGTGGCGAATCGTAAACGCCGCATGGTTTGGAAAGCAACCGCAATGCGGATGTTGGAGGCATGGAAAGGCCGCGCGAAACGGTACGATATGGAAATATATCGTTGTCCCGGGATGGACGTCGACACGGAACACGAAGAGGGGTGTGCAATCACCGGAAGCATGAAGGGGGACAGACGGTCGATTTGTTTATATGAAGTTTGTATGAACCGGGTGAAAGCTTGTCACCAATTTTGGAACGTTGAAGAGTGTATGTCAAAATCTCTGCCCCGCCTCACTCAAATTCTCTGACTATCCTCTTTTGTCTCTTTCCTATTTCTCGGTTGCTGTTTATCGTTCAGGTGGTGGAGATCCGGCCAAGCGACAACCCGGGATCGTTCACGGTCTTCGCTATGACAGGCCCGGGAGAGCTCCAGGTGAAGACAGCTTGAACCCGCCCCGAGAGGCAGCGTGCACGGCGTGCTAGCGCCGGTATTACTGACCGCCTGTTGCATGACGGAAAAGGCATCTCGCGATCGAAACTGTTGCAAGTCTGTCTGTGTGTGTTGCCCCTCTTCTGAATCCTCCTTCCCTTCCTCTTTCTTGGAACGTCGTGGCTGCCCCCCCATGCGAAACAGGTAATCCCCATCACCATACCCCGGGTGTTCTACGTCAACTGCCTCGAAGACAAGGGCCCCGCAGGCTCTTCGGCCATGGGACGCCGGGTGGCCCGAACCCTTCCCAATGGACATGGCTCGCCCTTTCTCTACGAGGTGGCCATGGACGAGGCAAAGTTCCAGCGCAACGAGAAGCAGGTACATTGTGCGTGATCTGTAGGGGTGCCGTGGGTGACATAAGATCCCCTTCCCCCCTTTTCGATTTTTTTTTGTTGATGCCATCTAGCCGGTCGCCCCGGTGGTCTAGTTGGATCCTCGAAACCTTCTAGAGGTCAGGTCAGGGGTTCGAATCCCGGCGTAAGCGAGCTTTTCTTGCAAAGTGAGTTTTTCTCTCGCTTCCGCTCCTGGCCTAGTGGATAGCGCTAGTTCGTGTGTACACAGAGGGAAGAGAGTGCTGAACTCTTCTCGCATTAATAATCGAAGGCAAAGTACCGCAGGAGGGGAGGGTAGAGCGGGGCTCTTCTGTGTGACCACGGGTTGGAGTAAACGGCACTATTATAGTGCTGTGAGCGCTGATTTGAAGTGAAAAAAAAAAAAAAACAGCAACAACCTCGCCAAGCCTCGCGTAATCGCTTGTTGGAAGCGCTTTGAACACGCACCGTATTCTTCTGAGGAACCAAATGTGCAACCCCTCCTCTAACTCTTTCTCTTTCTCTCTCTAACTCTCTTTCTCTCTCTCTCTCTCTCTATTATCTCTCTCTCTCTCTATTCTCTCTCTCTCTGTCTGTCTGTCTGTCTGTCTGTCTCTCTCTCTCTCTCTCTCTCTCTCTCTCTCTCTCTCTCTCTCTCTCTCTCTCTAACTTCGTGCAACGGCGCAAAAGGTTGAGGATTTTCTTCACCACGCGGGGATAGAGGGGGTGTACGAGCTGGGCACCCCCCTGGTGTACCGGGCCATGCTTCACCTCGGCTCGGTTGCCAGGGTCGTCCAGGGGAGGGCGAAGGCTCTCAAAGGGGTCAAGTCCGGCTCCGGCCAGGCACCGGGCTTCGAGCTCGAAGACTTGGAGCTCGTTACTGCGGTGAGAATCAGAAAAACGATTGATGTGGATAGGATTTGGGGGCTCCGTGGCTTTGCGATGATGCTCGGAGTTGCGCGAAACTAGTAGTCGCTCCCCCCCTCTCTCCCTTGCACCATTTATACCGCGTGCCTTGCTTGCCCTTTCCGCGCGACATGCCTTGCGTTTGACCCCGACTGCTCCGTCCAGGCTGCCCATCCGTACCTCCACCCTTCGGTGGCGACGTTCAAGCACATCTACCTCTACCACTCTAGCTCCGGCAAGCGGGGCATGGTGGGGCTCTTCTACGTTGAGGTGCGACGAAAAAATATTTAGAAGAGACTCTTTTTCCCAATGTTCTGGGTAACGGAGGTGATTTTGTTCCTTCCGGGTTCAAAACATGTCCACGATTTGGTCCCGTCTCTGTTTTATCTACCTTTTTCGATTCATTTGTGGTGCGTGTGGTACCGATTACTGCAAGACTCGCGCGCGATCATCACATCCAACCGTCGTCTGCCAACGGCGAAATCAAATGTAGGTCATGCTCAGCAGACAGCCGCAGTCAGGCACTAAAGAGCTACACTTGTAGTTTCGTGTGTGCAACGCATGCATTCATTTCGCAGACGGCAGTTCCGCTGCCATGTTGTCACAATAACTTCTATCTTGTGGCAAATTCCGAACCAGCCTGCCTGCAGACGCTAAGCTCTCAGCGTCGCATGCACGATCTGCTCCCCCCCCCCCCCCCCCCCCCCCCCCCCCCCCCTTTTTCTCCCCCCCCCCTCCACCCCCCCCCCCCCCCCCCCTTTTTTCCCCCCCCCCCCCCCCACCCCTTTTTTTCCCCCCTTCCCCCTCTTATAAAAAAACCCCCCCCCCCCCCCCCTTTTTACCCCCCCCACAAAAAAAATTAAAAAAAAACCCACCCCTTCTCCCCCACCCAAAAAAAAAAACACCCCCCACCCCCCCCCCCAAAAACTTCCCAAAAAAAAAAAATCTTAAACAATTGATCTAACCCCCCAAAAAACCCTTTCTAACACCAAACCCATTTTCTTTTTTCCCCCCCCCCCCCAAAAAAAAAAAAAAAAAACCCCCCCCCCCCCCCCCCC